GCCAAAGCCAATTTAGTTTTTGCAATACTAATTTGTCAGACGACAAGTTATTTGCTTTCATTTACCTTGTGGCCCTTTGTCTTATTTCCATTGTTTGAACGAAGACTCAGCCAAACTGCACCCGGACCAAGAGGTGTTTACTCATTTTGCGGGTGTATTGGTTCTTTGGTGTGAAAAAGTCATTTTTTCTTTTAAATGGTAAAATAAATACTGTTATCTAGGTGACAAGTATAAGCTTACTGTGAACATATTATGTTCAACATAGTTTTTACCCTCAATAGATCAGTTATATTTTTTTAGCTATTTTTTATTGCCTGATGGATGATTTTATTCATGATAAATAAAACTACCTACTAAAAGGAAACAAAACACACACACACACACACACACACAAAAACACGCATGAAAAGAGGATTTCAATGCTATCACAGCGTCGTTATTAGTTATTTGATCTTCTCTGCCACGTGATCTCCCTTAAAGTTCACGACCATTCTACGCATGCGCGCATGGTAAATGATCACATTTCCATTATCTTGAAGTACATCTTGTTCGCCGTATTTCGTCTTATAAAAATGCTATATAATTTTTTTTGAGTCCAACTCATCTTCCCTATTACGTCCACCAGATTTTCCCTCTCGTTTCATTATTTAAGTTTAGCCCGCTTTTAATTTAGATATCAAATAACAAAAAGTGATGCTCCCGGCTTTCTGCGTGAATATTGCAAGGCCAAGGCACTACAGTTAAATGTGTATTTAAGTGAAACATTTTATCATTTTTCTTAACATAATGTGATCCCATAGAACTCAGAATTTTCAGTAGTATGAACCGGATGTACAATCAAAAATTGCACAGTGGATTTATAATTTATCTCAGTGAATATTGTGTAGAATAATAATACTAAATATTATATCCTTTGTTTCGCAAAGCAAACGCTTTGTGTGTAAAGTGGGGATAAAAGATATCACAAATTCAAAGAATCGCGAGTGACGTTTGTCGACTCTATTTCGCCCTTTAATTTTCTAGATTTGACACATCTCATTTAAACTACAGCTGTATTTACGCATATTGCAACCAGAGGTTGGTTTTTAAGTGATTCGAATGCTTTTGACTCTTAATAGTTCTGAATACTCGTACAGCTCATGGCTAAGCACTTTTCAAAGAATGTAAATCGCGAGTACGATTAAATAGTACTCATCTTTCCAGGGACGAAGCATGATGAGTGGATTAAACGGGGTAAGGCAGGGTTTTGCGGGAATCAAGTTTTAAACGAAGATCTATAGTCTCGCTATACAAAGATAAGGGTCGTATGGTGATGGAGAACTTTACACTGACTGATCGCCTTCCCAATAACAACGTATCTCAGGAAATCAATGCTACACTGGTGTTTCGCTGCTTCATGTTCACCGACAGCAATGCCTTAAAGATACTCATGGTTATTGGCTATAGCGTCTTAATCACCACTTCGCTAATTGGAAACTTCATACTAGCATGTGTCTTCTTCACAAACAAAACCATGAGGAATAACGTGAATTGTTATATCATGAACATGGTGCTGGCTGACCTTCTGTTGACCCTAGTTTATATGCCTCGAATGATAGGGAGAATTCTTATCGGACTTGAATGGCCTGTGGAAGGTACCACTGGACTAATACTCTGCAAACTAGTGTCTCTGTCTCAAGAAATTTCGATCTGCGTCTCCATTTTAACCGTTGTTATCGTCGCGTTTGAGAGGTTGTTCGCTGTAGCGTTTCCATTGCGAGAAATAATATCAAGGAAGCTTAGCCTGGGCCTGTTATGTGGTACTTGGATTGTCTCGCTTGCAGTTCGATTTCCCATGCTGTACTCCGTAAAGACCGTTAGTTTCCAATCTGGCAAATTTGGCTGCTTTTGGATTCATTCTCTGAGCTTTTCAACTAAAGAAGCTAGAAAGTTTTACGATAGTTTTATTATTGTTACTTTCTTTGGCCTGCCCCTTCTGTGCATAATGACCTTGTACACTGCCATCTTGATCATTCTAAGGCGAAGGCAAACCCTTGTGGGAAATGTGACAAGAAATCGCGTTTTGGCTACAAACAAGAAAGTCACCCAGATGATAATTGCAGTAATAACAGCTTTTATACTTTGTTGGTTGTTGTATTTTATTGTGATACCGATGCAGGAGTTTTGGAATGTCCCAGTGACGTGTGAGATACACTTTCTCCGCTTTTTTCTAGGACACGTCAACATTGCTTGTAATCCTGTAATTTGCTTGCTGTTTAGTCAGAATTATAGACAAGGCATCAAGTCAATTCGCTCCTGCCGATTAGGACAAAGGTTACCGCGAAGGAACATCAGAAAAGGAAGCCCGAGAGATCATTCAGTCTCCCACGTTGCGTTGTTGAGTCTTCAAACATTAGCGTTAGACCCACGTTTGGAAGAACATATCAAAGGTATATACAAGGAATATGATGAAAATCGTGTTTAGTCTGTTGTGGTATTGAGCATGAAAGACAATGTAAAGCAAAGGGTGGACGGAGAAGAGTGGCGATATGTACCCGGAGAACCCGCCCTGTTGTTTCTTTCGTCGTACGGAAATGATCGGTCTCCTGTTCTTCCACTCCCCTTTTCATTATATTATTATGTTTCGGCTTTTTGTTTTTCATTTTGTGATAAATGCGCAAAAAGGCTTAAAATGCTAAATTTTTAATTTGTTGAAGCTATAAAAAAGTGCTTAAAGTGATTCAACTTTTATAGCTTGTTTGAAGGTAGCTTAGGAACTTGAACAGGCGAGGCTTATAGTGGCTAATTTGAAATTGCATAACTCCCCTTTGGGGCTCTTCTGAATCAAGCATAAAATTTAAAAAACTTCTGTCGGCCGTTTCCACGTCTGCTGTTGATATTTCCTGTTCACATATCTAATAAGTGGTTGAAGGTGTAATTTTTGGCTGTTCCAAAGTATCCAAAAAGTATCATCATGGCTTATCTGCTCAAATTTTATACATGCAGGAAAGGTCCTTGGTTGAATTTACGGAATAAAAACTTAGAAATGAGTACTGTACATTACCGCAACAGTAGTTGCGGATCGTTTGCGTACTGTACAGGACTCTTGCTGAATGGCAGACAGCAATTTCTTGAGGGACGCTTGTACTGCGCAACCATTAGGATCACAGTTTATTACAAAGTGCAAGGATTATTACAAATTGCCACTGTGCACTCATTGACCGCTGCGAGTTTTCAAAGCACACTAAAAGAGGTCTTATGGAGTACAAGAAACAGAACTGAAAATCAAAGTTAAACACGATGATTTTCACATTCTTCTCTGACTCACTTGTAGGTATAATACTAAGAAAACTCTCACTAGAGATACCATCATAGTATACTACTCGAAAACATTGCGTGACTAGTTAACTGGTGGAAAAGCAACGTCTCCTGACTGAGTACGTACGCATGATAGTGATAATGATTTATTACTCTGATGATGATGATGATGATGATGATGATGATGCACTGGTGCGAAGAGAGACGATTATTATTATTACTATGATGCAGTATATCTTGAGAAGAAAAAGAGGAAAGAGGAAAAGGTCATTATGCTACAAGATTTCTGCAAGTTCTTCACTAGAGCGGTCTCTTTCAAGCAGTATGGTTTGTAATTTATTTGTGAATTCAAATGAGAAGTTGAAAGCTGAAAAAGCCTTGAACTACATGTATATACCGGTAAAAAACCCCTATGGCTAAAATACATAACTTAATGTTATCTTTTTTCCTTTTTTAATACCGTAGCACTCAATAAAGGCAAAGTCAACGATAGTTGAAGCTCACAATAAAGAATCATTCAATCAATCAATCAATCAATCAATCACTTACGCAAGGCAAAAACGAAAAGAGACTTTCCATCTTGTCACTTTAATACAAGTCAAGCCTTACAGCTCGTTTAATTACAGCCAAACAGCTCCACTCTCATTGATATGTGTCCGCGCCACGCTATTGGATGAACACGGACTAGCGTGCTCTGATTGGCTTGTTCAAGTTATTACGAACAACGATATTACGGTCTGTATTCCCAGTAAACACCTTGAGAAGGAAAATTAAGAAAAGAATGGACCAAAGTTTTCCATTGTGTTCATATATCAATGTTATTTCTTTATTACATGAAAGTAGATCACGGAAAATTCAGGTGGGTTATTTGCTTTTGGATTAGCATCGAAGACTTTCTGTTTCAAGAGTTTCTTGGAAAAAATCGCGTGTGAGAGACGGATAAGAAACCGCGTCAGTATTTTAAAATATGATCGTTGATGTTTGACAAGCTGATCTCTATCCATATTCTTCTCGCCTTTTAGCTTATTTCATTTCCGTTAATCAGTCACGATTCACGCTAAAAAAGGAACGTATTTTTAGCGACCCGCATCTAAAGAAAAACTCTACGAAGTCTGTGTTATTTAGAAGTTAACTATGTATGTCTTGAGCTTAAATTTAAATTGATAGTTGTACTGTCTTTTTTTTTGTTTTTGGTAAACGTAACCCGCATAAATGTTAAACTTGACACTGCGTGTATACTACTAGTATATCTGAGCAAACGCATACACCTAAAAAATATGACAGCCGGCTATGGTAATAACTTCGGTTATCACTTTACGTCGTTTTTGTACGTAGTTTACCATTTGTTATGATGCTTCATACGACTGTCAATCCCCCCCCCCCCCCCCCCCCCCCTTTACTGCCCGTAGTAAACCAAACCAAAGGGGTGGGCGGGGCTTGGAATACATTTTACTTTGGCAGACAATGTTAATTGCAACAAATGCTTTTGACCTTGTCTTCAACTTGTCCATGTTCCTTGTAGTACTGAAAGGCCGTGCCATTGTCTCTGTACCGCAGCTTTTACTTCGTAACCCATTGATTCATATCAGTTCTGCCTTGTGTTGCTACACCCTGTGATACGTGTGTGTGGAGTACCCAGATCAACCTCGAGCCATTGATTAGCATTATTTATTTCAGCAGACCATGAACCAGCTTCACTCGGAGTTGGTTCAAAGTGCAGTCTACCTTGAAACTCCTTATGATTCTTAATCTTTTCATACTCGGAGGACGCAGTGATTTGGTGATCGGAAATGGCGCCGTTTTCCACGCCCAGAGCCCCTTCACATTCTGTGTGAGCAATAAAGCAGATTAGTGAAATTCTGATTTCTCGAGCTAATTAATTGCTTTATTATGAGAGATGATTATCTTTATCACAAACTTGACTTACGCAGGGGCAAGTACCCTGCGAACAATCAAAGCAGACAAACAAACAAAA